CCTATGGGTCTCCTGGAGGTCCTATAGGTCTCTCTGGTGGGTCCTATGGATCTTTCGGGGGTCCTACAAGTGTTTTTGGGGTCCTATAGGTGTTTTTGGGGTCCTATGGGTTTCCCTGGGGTCCTATAGATCTCCCTGGTGGGTCCTATGGATCTTTTGGGGGTCCTATAGGTGTTTTTGGGGTCCTCTAGGTCTCCTGCGGGTCCTATAGGTCTCCTGGAGCTCCTACAGATCTCCCTGATGACCCTATAGATCTTTCAGAAGGTCCCACGACCCTTTTTGGGGACCTATAGATCTTCTGGGGCTCCCTATGGGGTCAGGGCAGGACCTATAGAGCAGAAGGACCCTATAGGGCTGGGGGAGGAGGAGATGTCCCTATAAGGGACAACCCTATAGGTCCCCCCCACCCCTTTACCTTCATCTCCATCCACCACCGAGATCTCCTCATCCAGCAGCATCAGTGGGTCACTCTGGGGGAAAGATGGGAAAAAAAGGGCGGGAACGGCATGAAATTCCCGAAAAATTTTGGGAAAGGGGCACGTATAGAAGGGGGGTGGGGTGGGTGTGACCCCCCCGTCCCCCAAAATTACCTCCTCGTCCACCTCCTTGGTGGCCCCGGCCAAGGGGTTGTACTCGGGGGCCCCGGCCAAGGGTTTGTACTCGGGGTCCTCCGGGTCCTTGTCGAAATCCATGCTGGAATTCCGGAGAAAAGGAAAATTTTAGGAATTTTTTTTGGGGGGGACACCCCAAAAATGAAGACCCCTCCCCAAAATTTAATTTAACCCCCTCCCACCATCATGGGGTGCCTCAGAACTGGAAGAAGTTGAACTCAACCCGGCCAAGAACCGGTCAGTATTAGCATGGCGTGGTCATCATCGGCACCCCGGGAATATTTTGGGGGGGGGGACATCCCAAAATTGGGATGGGGCAGCCTAAAATTCCCAAAAAACAGGGTGGGGAACCCCAAAATCAGCCCAAAAAGAGGTTGGGAACCCTAAAGACAACCCTAAAAGGGGCTGGGGCATCTCCAAGAGGTTCTGGAGAACCTCAAAGCATCATAGAATGAAACTGGAGCACCTCAAGGAGGTTCTGGAGAACCTCAAACCACCCTAAAGTTGGGCTGGAGACCTCAAAAATGGTCTGGAGCACCTCAAGGAGGTTCTGGACAACCTCAAATCACCTCAAAGAGGTTGTGGAGAACCTCAAATCACCCCAAAGATGATCTGGAGCACTTCAAGGAGGTTCTGGAGAACCTCAAACCACCTCATCGTGGGTCTGGAGCACCTCAAGGAGGTTCTGGAGAACCTCAAACCACCCTAAAGTTGGGCTGGGGACCTCAAAAAGGGTGTGGAGCACCTCAAAACACCCCAAAAAGGTTCTGGAGCACCTCAAGGAGGTTCTGGAGACCCTCAAACCGCTTCAAAGAGGTTCTGGAGAACCTCAAATCACTCCAAAGAGGGTCTGGAGTACCTCAAGGAGGGTCTGGAGCACCTCAAAGAAGTTCTGGAGAACCTCCAACCACCTCAGAGTGGGTCTGGAGCACCTCAAGGAGGTTCTGGAGAACCTCGAACCACCCTAAAGTTGGGCTGGAGACCTCAAAGAGGGTCTGGAGCACCTCAAGGAGGTTCTGGAGAACCTCAAACCACCTCAAGGAGGTTCTGGAGCACCTCAAGCCACCTCATTGTGGGTCTGGAACATCTCAAGGAGGTTCTGGAGCACCTCAAACCATCTCATTGTGGATCTGGAGCACCTCAAGGAGGTTCTGGAGCACCTCAAAACCCTCCAAAGAAGAGCCAACCCCCCCCAGAAGACCTCCAAGAGAGGTCGCAGCCCCCCCAAATTTTGGGGGAGAGGTCCCCAACCCCACCCCTCGCCGACGTCCAAGCGCTGCTCGGCAGCGACCGCCTTCTCGTCGGGGCCACCGGCCTTCTCCAAGAAGCAGAGCGCGGGGTCGGCGCGCATCGTGTTGTACTTCTCGTAGCCTAGAAGAAGACGTGGACACGTCAGAAGACCCCGATTCCGACGGATTCCATCCCAAAAGTCTTCTCCTCCACCCCACCGGGACACGTACCATGCTTGAAGACGCCGATGAGGAGGGACTTGTCGGCTTCGGCGTCCCACCACGCCGTCGGGACCTCCAGTTGCTCCACCAGCGGGAACCAGATGTCGATCTCGCTGGTGGGTTTGGGGTGGGATGAGAGGGTCAGGGGTGGCCTGAAGGTGGACCGGAGCACCCAAAGCCACCCCAAAAAGGGGCTGGAGAACCTCAAATAGGGTCTGGAGCACCCCAAGGAAGTTCTGGAGAACCTCAAACCACCCTAAAGTAGGGCTGGAAAACCTCAAAAAGGTTCTGGAGCACCTCAAAGAAGGTCTGGAGAACCTCAAACCACCCCAAGGAGGAGCTGGAGAACCTCAAACCATCATAGAATGGAGCTGGAGCACCTCAAGGAGGGTCTGGAGAACCTCAAACCACTCCAAAGAGGTTCTGGAGAACCTCCAACCATCTCAAGGAGGTTCTGGAGCCCCTCAAAGCATCTCAAAGAGGTTCTGCAGAACCTCGAACCACCCCAAAGTGGGCCTGGAGCAAAGAGGTTCTGGAGCACCTCAAGGAGGTTCTGGAGAAACTCAAATCATCTAAAAGAGGTTCTGGAGAACCTCAAACCACCTCAAAGAGGTTCTGGAGCACCTCAAGGAGGTTCTGGAGAAACTCAAACCATCTAAAAGAGGTTCTGGAGAAACTCAAACCACCCCAAAGTGGGCCTAGAGCACCTCAAAGAGGTTCTGGAGAACCTCAAACCACCTCAAAGAGGTTCTGGAGCACCTCAAGGAGGTTCTGGAGAACCTCAAATCACCTCATCGTGGTTCTGGAGAACCTCAAACCACCCTAGAGGTTCTGGAGCACCTCAAGGAGGTTCTGGAGAACCTCAAACCACCTCAGAGAGGTTCTGGAGAACCTCAAACCACCTCATCGTGGGTCTGGAGACCTCAAACCATCTCAAAGAGGTTCTGGAGCACCTCAAGGAGGTTCTGGAGAACCTCAAACCACCTCATCGTGGGTCTGGAGCACCTCCCAGAAGGTCCCGGTGACTCACCTGGCCACCGCCCCCGCCAACACCTTCTGCGCCTGGTCACCGATCACCTCCTGCCGGAGGTAGTAGAGCATCCGTACCCTCAGGAGAACCCTAGGAGATGGTCAACCAACGCAAAATAAATGACGGCGACTTCTCCAGGAGGCCAAGGTGGACCTCCACGAGAAGACCTCCACAAGAAGAAGACCTCCCCGAGAAGAAGACCTCCACCTACTTGTTGCACTGATGCTTGAGGTGCTTCTTGTAGCTCTCGTCTTGGTGTCCGGGTTGTACTTCCGGATCCACTCGGCCTTGTGGACATCAAAGGAACTTTGGGACTTGACCTTCTTCCCCTTCCGCCCACGAGGAACTGGGATGGACAACCCTGGAGAAGAAGAAGAAGGAGAAGCAAGCGGTCAAAAAGTGGAGAACCTCAAACCACCCCAAAGAGGTTCTGAAGCATCTCAAGGAGGTTCTGGAGAACCTCAAACCACCCCAGAGGTTCTGGAGCACCTCAAGGAGGTTCTGGAAAACCTCAAACCACCCCAAAGAGGTTCTGAAGCATCTCAAGGAGGTTCTGGAGAACCTCAAACCACCCCGAAGGAGAAGCAAGCGGTCAAAAAGTGGAGAACCTCAAACCACCCCAAAGAGGTTCTGAAGCATCTCAAGGAGGTTCTGGAGAACCTCAAACCACCCCAGAGGTTCTGGAGCACCTCAAGGAGGTTCTGGAGAACCTCAAACCACCCCAAAGAGGTTCTGGAGCATCTCAAGGAGGTTCTGGAGAACCTCAAACCACCCCAAAGAGGTTCTGGAGAACCTCAAGAAGTGGACCTCGGAAGGTCCACGGGTTGTCCCCAGGTCAGAAGAACCTCACCCGAGTGGTTCTGGAGCTCCTTGGTCTTGCCGTTCTCGGTGGGGCTGATGAGGTCCCAGATGAAGCCCTTGATGTTCTCGTCGCCGCGGTAGTGGAGAAGACAGTAGACCAAGATGGCGCGGCAGATGGTCTCCACGTCGCGTTCCGACAGGCGCCGTTTGAAGCGGCCGTGGGCCAGGATCTCCCGCCAGCGGCCCCACCTGGCCGGTGGGAGGAGGTCCTCAGGTGGAGGTCTTCTCCTGCCACCCCACCGCCCGACATCCAGCTCCACCCCAAGTATCTGCTCGTGGTTGCCACCACGGAAGAGGTGGACCTGATCTTCTTGCTCCACCGCCAACCATCTCATGGTTGCCACCAGAGAAGAGCTGGAGCTCCTCTACGTTCTCCACCAAGAATCTCCTGGTGGTTGCCACCAGAGAAGACCTTCAGCTCCTCCACTTCCTCCACTAAGAACCTCCTGGTGGTTGCCACCAGAACACACCTAGACCTGGACCTGATCTTCTCCCTCCACCACCAACCATCTCATGGTTGCCACCAGAGAAGACCTTCAGCTCCTCCACTTCCTCCACTAAGAACCTCCTGGTGGTTGCCACCAACCTGATCTTCTCCCTCCACCACCAACCATCTCATGGTTGCCACCAGAGAACACCTGAACCTCCTCTATCTTCTCCACCAAGAACCATCTCATGGTTGCCACCAAAAAAGACCTGGACCTCTTCTACCTTCTCCACCAAGAACCTCCCGGTGGTGGCCACCAGAAGACCCCGCCCCACCCCTCACCCGTAAACCAGGAGGTTCTTCTCCACGCGGAAGCAGTCGGTGCGCCCGTAGGCGTGGTGCAGGGCGTGGTGGTGGTGGTGGTGGTGAGGGTGGTGGTGGGGGTGGTGGTGCCGGTCATGCCGGCGGGACCTTGGTCTCTCCTCGTCTTCGCTCTCCAGGTCCGAGAACTCCACCAGGTCATCGTCCCTCAAGGTGCTGAAGTGACGCGTCTGCTTCCGCACCCGCGGCGTGTCGATGACCAGGTTGTTCTGGAAGCACCAGAAGAACCATCAGAAGATCCATCTGACGTCCCACCACCAGTCCCACCAGCCCGCCACGGCCGTTGTCCTCTCCCACCTTGCTGTTGAGAAGATCCAGGTCCAGGTCGGCTTTCTTGGCCCACTTCTGCCAGAAGTTGGGGTCGTCCAACGCGATGTCCGTGCGGTTTTCCGAGGCCACGAAGCTCGCCTGGTGGTGGAGGAGAAGGTTGGGAGATCTTCAAGGCGTAGGAAATGTCCTACCACCGCCCAACCGTTGAGATGTCCCACCACCCAACTATGGAAATGTCCCACCACCCAACCGTTGAGATGTCCCACCACCCAACCATGGAGATGTCCCACCACCCAACTGTTGACATGTCCCACCACTCAACCGTGGAGATGTCCCACCACCGCACGACTGTGGAGATGTCCCACCACCCAACCGTGGAGATGTCCCACCACTCAACCGTTGACACGTCCTACCACCCAATCATGGAAATATCCCACCACCCAACAGTTGACAAATCCCACCACTCAACCATGGAGATGTCCCACCACCCAACCATGAAGATGTCCCACCACCCAACCATTGACACGTCCCACCACCCAACCATGGAGATGTCCCACCACCACCCAATCGTTGAGATGTCCCCCCACCCAACCGTGGAGCTCACCTTGGCGAAGGTGGACCCCTTCCCCTCGCTCTCGATGGTGATGGTGGTGGTCCGGCGCAGGAGGATCTGGTCGATGTCCTCCTCGCAGAACTTGGAACCTTCATCGTCTTCCTCCATGATGGCGGCGTAGGCCCCTTTGCGCAGAAGGTCCTCGATCTCCTTCTTGGAGAACTGTTGGATCTGGGGGAAGGTGGAGATGGGAGGTGAGGTGGGAAACCAACCCTGTGGGCTTCAAACCATCTCCAAGCCCCATGTCCCTCAAGATTAGGGTCTACATGCCCCGTTCCTCGTGCTAGACCCCATCCCTACGTTCTTCACCCCCAATTTCTCTTGGAGAACTCCTTCTCCATGGTCTTCACCCCGTTTCTCTTGGTAGACCCCATCCCTACATTCTTCATCCCCATTTTCTCTTGGAGAACCTCTTCTCCATGGTCTTCACCCCCTGTTCCTCGTGGTAGACCCTATTCCTACGTTCTTCGTCCCCATTTTCTCTTGGAGAACCCCTTCTCCATGGTCTTCACCCCCTGTTCCTCGTGGTAGACCCCATCCCTATGTTCTTCACCCCCATTTTCTCTTGGAGAACCCCTTCTCCATGGTCTCCACGCCCCGTTCCTCATGGTAGACCCCATCCCTACGTTCCTCATGACCCGTTTCTCTTGGTAGACCCCATCTCTACATTCTTTCCCCCCCCCATTTTCTCCTGGAGAACCTCTTCTCCAAGACGTCCCCGCCCCGTGGCCATGGTGGACCTCTCACCCCGGCGATGTTGCCCTCGCGGCCGCTCATGGACTGGAGGACGGCCTTGTCCAGGCCCAGTTTGAGACTGGCCTTGTCGAACATCTCCCGCTCGTAGGAGTTGCGCGTGATGAGGCGGTAGACCTTGACCGCTTTGCTCTGGCCGATCCGGTGGCACCGCGCCTGGGCCTGAGGAGGAGGAGGAGAAGGTGGAGATGGTGGAGGTGGAGGAGGAGGTGGAGGAGGACGAGGTGGAGGAGAAGGAGAAGATGGAAGAGATGAAGAGATGAAGAAGATGGAAAAGAACAACAAGATGGAGAAGAACAAGAAGGAAATGAAGAAGATGGAGACGATGGACATGATGAAGAAGAACAAAAAGAAGAAGAAACAGAAAGAGAAAAAGATGGACGAGAAGATAAAAACGACGAAGATGATGGAGAAGAAAATGCAGATAATGAAGATGATGAAGATGAGACGATGGAGATGATGGAGAACAAGAACAAGAAGAAAAAAAGAAGAAAGAGAAGAAGATGAAGGAGGAGAAGGAGGACGACAAGAAGAAGGAGAAGAAGGAGAAGAAGAAGGAGGACAAGAAGGAGAAGATGGAGGAAAAGATGGAGAAGAAGATGGAGGAGAAGATGCAGGAGAAGATGGAGGAGAAGATGGAAGAGAAGATGGAAGAGAAGATGGAAGAGAAGATGGAAGAGAAGATGGAGGAGAAGATGGAGGAGAAGATGGAGGAGAAGATGGAGGAGAAGAACGAGAATAAGGACAAGATGGGGCAGAAGATAGAGGAGAAGATGGAGAAGAAGATAGAGGAGAAGATGGAGGAGAAAATGGAGCAGAAGACGGGGGAGAACATAGAGATGATGGAAGAGAAGAAGAAGAAAATGGAGATGATGGACATGAAGATGGAGATCATGGAGAAGACGATGGAGAACAAGATGGAAAAGATAGAAATGATGGGGAAAAAGACGAAGATTACGGAGAAGAAGAAGGAGAAGATGG